TCAGTCCAAGAAGTATTTGCATTTTAAAAGACACAACCTTTTAGGCTTTCAATTGGTGGAATTTCAGAAAGTTTATCAATAAAGGGGAAGGTCAGTGTAGGGTGGGTGAGGTGGGGCAGGAATCTTTTAGGGATGAGGGGGATGGGATGAGATCACTGACCCTAGAGTCTAAAGATTTGGGTTCAGGTCCCAGCTCTACCACTGACTGTGTTCACCAAGTCACTTTAATTCTTTGGGCTGGGGTTGGACTGGAGGGAGATTTCAAAAATTCTTCTAAAACCTAATGTGCTGATTCTAAGCCCTCCTATAAGGAGGCTAGATTTGCTGAGTCTGCCTCTGGGTTGTTCTTATTCTTCCCAGTCTATTCTTTTCCTCCTCTCCTGAACCTAGAAATTCTCTAAAATCTATAAGATTCTTCTCCATGGCAAAGTGAGGAAGGAGATTCAAGTGGTCAAGTTGCATATCCCATTTGCCCTTCCTTCTCTCATTGCTGATCTCTATTTTTATTTCCAGCAAAACTAGATACAACTCTGATCTTCAATCAAGGTGCTACCCTGCTCAAAATGAGGTGGACTTGTTTCATAAACTTGCCTTTTAGTTTGGGGAGACAATTGTAAGTTATTTTGGTTATTTCCTCAAAGAAAAACAAACACGTACATACTTTCTTTGATAACAAGTCTTGATGTCTAAGATAGCACAACACTACTGCAATATACTAAATATTAATGAACAGAAAATGCAGAGTTGAAATAAAGGGTAGATTTTTATAAGAGTTATAAACATCATAGTTATCCCTTCTACATTGTGACTTTCCCCATGGTGGTTTTGATTTATCACTGGTTAGCATAAGAAATTAAATAGGAATTTTTTTGGAGTTTTGTAGAAGCTGCAGACAACCAGCACACAAAGGCCAGCAGATGACAGAAAAAGTTTAGAAACTCAGAAATACAAATAAAAAAAAATTATAGTATTTGTATATCAACATATCTTATTTTTAATGCCGTAATAATTCAGACTTCTTCTCTGGTATGAAGGGCCAAAATATTTTAAGCAGATTTTCCAGATTGCCAGGGCACTGAGCCCCTCACCCCCCTCGATGGGGAAAGTATAACTGTACCTAGTTAGCACCCTGTTCTCATGCCTCACTGTAGCAGAGAAGTTCTTGGAAGTAAAAGTTATGGCAGGCTATACCAAGCTAACAGTGCTTTGGGCAGAAGACCTCGACAGACTATCATCCAGAGGGCAAAACAGTAAGTGTCCTATTGATTGGGGAATACATGAACAAACTGTGGGGTAGGTAAGAACATATTATTGAACTGCAAAAAAGAGTTCACAACCATTTTGGAGAGTAATTTGGAACTATGCCCAAAGGGCCATAAAACTGTGCCTACCCTTTGACCCAGCAATAGCACTTCTAGGGCTGTAACCCAAAGAGATCATACAAATGGGAAAAGGACCCACATGCACAAAAATATTTATAGCAGCTTTTTGTGGTGGCAAAGAATTGGAAACTGAGGGGAGGTCTATCAATTGGGGAACAGCTGAACAAGTTGTGGTATATGAATGTAATGGAATACTATTGTGCTATAAGAAATGATGAGCAGCTGGACTTCAGAAAAACCTGGAAAGACTTGTATGGACTGATGCTGAGTGAAGTGAGCAGAACCAGGAGAACGTTGTACACGGTAACAGCCACGTTATGTGATGTCTAACTTTGATAGACTTAGCCCATCTCATCAATGCAAGGATCTAAGACATCTCCAAAAGTCTCATGATGGAAAATGCTATCCACATCCAGAGAAAGAACTATGGAGTTTGAATGCAGATCAAAGCATACTATTTGCTATTTTTTTCTTCTGTTTTGTTGTTCCTCTTATTGGTTCTAATTCTTCCTTATGACATGACTAATGTGAAAATGTTTAATATGAATGTGTACATATAGCCTATATCAGATTGTGTGTCATCTTAGGGAGGGGGAGAAAAATTTAAAACTCAAAAGTTTATGGAAGTGATTGTTGATAAATCAGAATTTTAAAAAATTTAAAAAAAAGAGTTCAAAGAAATATCAGAAAAGGTAAAATAAGCTGTTATCTCCAGTGCCTAACATCATGCCTGACACATAGTAGGTGCTTAATAAAGTACTTGTCAACTGATCAGAAGATTTGCAGGCACTGACATGGAATAAAGAAAGCAGAACCAGGGAAAAATATGACTACAATAATATAAATTAAAACAATTAAACTCAAACTAAATGCAATAGCCCATGTTGGTTCCAGAGGATCAAGGAGTCACATTTTCCTTGTCTTGGCAAAAGAGGTTGGCAGTTGTCATGGATACTAAAATATGGAGAGGTGAAGCCAAGACTGTGGAGTGATAGGAAGCAATGCAATGAGTTCCTCTCAATGAACTTCTCACAGAGGTAGAATATGCATCAGACTAAAATCTGATGGGGAAATCCAGAAAAGGTCACAGTGAGTCCCTCATCAAGTCCAGCTTGGTACTGGGAGGTCTTTGGACACTGGAGATGGATTGGGCACACAGAGTGCAGAGCAAGGCAGAACTCTGGAAGACATCTGGCCCAAGAAAAGATCTCAGACTCATATCTGGTCACCCCCAGATCCCAACACAATAGTGGCAGAGATGCCCAAGACATAAAATGCAAAAGAAAACGACTCTTTAAGACATCTACAAGCATTGCTTTAATTTACATTCCTGCATGGAAAGATATTTGTAACTCATGAGACCTTTGTCAGTATTAGGGTAGTTGAAGGGAAAAAAAATTATATGTATAGATAGATTGATAGAGTGCACAGGGTGAGCTGAAGATGTAGGGGTGATATCTGGAGAATAAAATTAAGGGGTGAGAGAGGATTATACTGGGAGGAGAAAGGGAGAGGTAGAGTGGGGTAAATTATCTCACATAAAACAGACAAGAAAAGGCTTTTACAGTGGAGGGGAAGGTGAGAAGGAATGAGTGAATCTTATTCTCTTCGGATTTGGCTTAAAGAGGGAGTAACATACACACTCAATTGGGTAGGGGGGAAGGGGACAAGAGAGCAGGAGGATGATAGAGGGCGGATTGGGAGAGGGGGTAATCAAAAGCAAACACTTCTGAGGAGGGACAGGGTCAAAAGAGAGAAAAGAATAAACAGGGCGGGGCGGGGTGCTCGGGATGGGATGAAGGGAAATATATAAAAATAGTTTTTCACAACATGACTACTGTGGAAGTGTTTTGCATGACTACACATGTATAACCCTGATTGAGTTGCTTGCCTTCTCAATGAGGGTGGGTGGGGAGGGAGGAAGGGAGAAAATCTGGAACCCAAAGTTTTAAAAACAAAAGTTAAAAAAAATTGTTTTCACATGCAACTGGGAAATAAGATATACAGGAAACAGGATATAGAAATCTATCCTGCCCTACAGGAAAATACAAGGGGAAGGGGATAAGAGGAGGGGGAGACAGATTAGTGGAACGGGTATTCAGAATGCATGCCGTCTTGGGGTGGTGGGGGGAGGGACGAGATGGGAAGAAAATCTAGAACTCAAAATCTTGTGGAAGTGAATGCTGAAAACTAAAAATAAATAATAAAAAAAAATACCAAACCACAACTTGGGCACAAAATCAACAGAATTCCTTTAAGAGATGAAGCAAGAGTTTGAAAAGTTTATAAATGGGAGTGCTTGAAGGAAAAACTGGAAAAGAAATGAGTTATATAAGAATTGGAAAGGAAATTACAGCTTGGCACAAGAGGTACAAAACCTTGTCCAAACAACATACTCCCTGAAAATCTGAATGGACCAAACACGCCAAAGACTCCATGAAATGACATGAAATAAAAACAATAAAAAATAGCAAAAAATGTAAGGTGCCTCATGGCAAAAACAACCGATGTGGAAAACAGATCAAGCCCCTTTGGACTCAGGGGTGGAGCCAAGACGATGGAGGAAAGGCAAGCAAGAATCAATGGACTCCCTGAACACCACAACCAAAAAAAGAGCCTACATATTTTATTTCAAGAAATCTCAAAAGAAAATTGCCCAGATCTCTTAGAACCAAAGGGACAGCTGGAGAAAGAAAGAATCCACTGGTGACCTACAGAAAGAAATCCCAAAATGACAATTCCCAGGAACATCACAGCCAAAATCCAGTGCTTCCAGGTTAAAGATAAAATACTACAAGCAGAGAGAAAGAATTGAAGCAGAGAGTCACATTCAGGATCACACACAATATAGCAACCACTACTGTAAAGCAGCTCATATACTTCCTTGCTCTTTCTTGCAGCAGAGAACCTGGAATATATATTCCAGAAGGCAAAGGTTATGGGCTTATAGCTAGAAAGCATGTATCTAACAAAACTGAGTATAATGCTACAGGGGGAAAAAATGGACCCTTAATGAACGAGGATTTCCAAGTATTCCTTATGAAAAGACCAGAGCTACATGGAAACTTTCAAGTACAAAGGAATAAAATAATCTTGTAATCCTGGATCACACAGTGAATGCTTATTTCCACTCTTAACATTTAAATTTCTCTAATATTAGCTAAAAGGTTAATTAAACAAATTATAAAACATAATGTATGTGTGTATAGGGGCAGGGGGGAAAAGAAAGAATTCATTATAGGAAATAAGATTTGGGGATTCATGGTTTTTTTCTTTTCCATGTGGTCAGTTAAAACATATTTTTTGAGAAATTTCCTTCTTCAAACCTTTAAGACTAAACCTTATTAAAAACTCAATTATTGAGTCCTGGGTTGAACCCCATCACCAAGTTTAAAGCAAATCAAGATATTCATTGACATCACTCAGCTCCTCTAAATTTACAAAAATCTGATAGTTCCAAAAATTTTAATCATTTTACTTTAGAGGTAATTACAGTTAATCCACCAGATACATTACAAACCAAATGCTGAATTTGCATTTGATCAAAGATAGATCAAAGTTGTGAGAACCAGATAAACAAAAAAGGGATGATATTTTAATTGAATTGGAACACAATAATTTCCTTGTATATATATGACTTTATTTCACTGTATGAACAAAAGCCTAAAAGTTAACATGGGAAACCCTTGCATTCTTTCTTCTATGGTCAAATGCCCAAATTTACAGCCAGCCTGATGTTTCACATTATGCATAATCCTAAGGTAAATTCAGTTAATGATGTCCATGAGCAGGAGCAGCTGAATCTGAACCTTTGGAAACAAAAATACAGGAGAAATTGTACTGTAATTTAGAAAATAATACAAACAAAATAGATTGCAATTTGCTAGTAAAGGAGGCAAAGATAAAACTAACAGGAAACATAAATGTTAATTTCCTATTAGAAAAAAGCAAGCTTTAAATTAATTTCAAAATAATGGATAGTTTAAATAAAAAATATTTTATTTCCATAAACATTTATTTATTTAAGTGAGATAGCCAGGGTAATGAAATAGTCATAACTGACACCAAGTAAAACCACTTCAACTTATCTAGCTGCTCTGTAAAGTTTCTCATTTGCTATTAAACAAATATTCTGTTCAGAGTTCAAACAACAGTAACTTTTTTGGCTGTTGTGAAATTGCAATGGGAAAGAAGAAAATATTCAGAACCTGGTTGTAATCAAATGAGTGTAATTTCACCAAGTTTTGAATTAAATATATTACTTCATTATCAGTAGTTTATTTAAAAGTGACAGCATGGTCTAACTACTGGTTTGAGCCCACCCCCTACACTCCCACTCCCCCAACTCCTATCAAATTATCAAAGATCTTGGATACCACTCAAATTACTATATAACCTTCTTTGACAATTTCAAAGAAAATATTTAGGACATAAAACAGCAAAAATTGCTTTGAGAATTCTACTTTACTACAACTACATATATACCTTAAATATGATATTCTGAAATATTCCCTTTGCATTTCATATTTTTGAAAACTTTTGTTCTACAGTACCAAAAACATTATTTTAAGAAAAGGAACCCATCCCTATCTCATACCCATCCCCAAAAGACTTACCTTTCAAAGCTTTGCTTTTTTTATCTAAAAATTAGAACAACATATTATCAGTGTGTTATAAAGTAATATCTTTTTATTCATTACTTCCAATTAAGTAACAAACTGTCACATAATTGAATGCCTTAGAAGACATACCACTCAAGAATTATTTTGAGCAATACCTAGTTGAGCTCTTCATTACCTAATGTAATACATAAAATTACTAGGTTTTTCAAAAGGGCTCCAAAACAGGAAAACCAGAAAAGCTATTAACAATGCTTTCCAAATCTTGTATTTAAAAAAGCTTATGTCTTCCCTGCTCCCAATTTGCCATATCAAATAGTTTAAAGCAAAAATGTTTTCCAACACAATATTTAAGACAGATACAGCTGTTCAGTATGCTAAATATGCCCCTATTTAACCTGATACAAATTACTAAAATCAAGGTTTGTATGGGAATTAATTTTGCCAATCCCTGACTCCCCACAAGAATCCTTTTCCCCAACCCTTTTCCTCCCTTCTCATCTCCCAAGAACCAAACATAATGCAACTTACCAGCACTTCTGATTTTGTAAACAATGTACCCCATCACACCCATTCCTATCCAGATCTCCTGGTAAACCTGGGTATAGTAGGGCTTCAGTGGAGTCCAAACATTTTTCATCAAGTTCTGCAACATCTGAAAATTAATAGTAGCAGTAAATTAAGGTACTTCACACTACTAAAAGTTCAGATTATTATTCGTTCAAAAAATATTTATTGAGCCTTCTAAGCCATTTTTCCTCACTGTCCCCATTCCCTAAATGCCATGCTCCCCTCCCCTTTCAGGATTCCAAATCCTTTCCATTCTTTCAAGAGATACAGGTTTCATGAGATCTCCCTCTTTCATGGAAGGTTCCCTGCTTACCACCATTGTTACTTCCTCTGAATCTTCAATAGCACTTCGTATCCACACCATTCATAGTGGTACTTATCACATGCAGTCTTGCATTCTTGTTTCATAGAATCATACATAGCATTACAGAATCAGAAGGGAGGGGTCACTAAGGTCTAGTCTAAGCCTGCTTAAAATACTTTGGGTTATGGTCTGACCAGGGAGAGTATAGGAAGGATAGTAAGGCATAACAGAAAGAGCCCTGGATTTGAAGTGAGGGAACTTGGGTTCTCTACTCTGGTGATCCTTGTATGATCTGGGTTAAGTACCTTAACCTCTTCAGTTTCTTCCTTTATAAAACAAAATATGTAAAAAATCTCTTAAGATTCCTTTCCAATCCTAAATCCTATGATTGCTTTAGTAATCTAAAATTACAATACTTTATTTGGGGGAGGTCAGTTTATTGCCTAGTTTTTATTTAGGTTCTGGGTACACGATCTAGTTATTTTTGTGATAACATTAATACCTTTTAGAAGTGAGTTGATAAGAGAAGTATCATAGGTTAGAAACTCACAGAGTGATCTCAACTCATTGTATGACCATGGTCAAATCACTCCTCTCTGGGTCTCAGGTGCCTCATTGTAAGATCAGGGGATTAACCTAGACACTTTTCTTAAGATTCCTGTAAGACATGACATTTTATGGCTCTAAAGTGCTGAGTGCCTCCTGTTTTCAGGCATGGAGCAAGGATAATGAATTCTGAGTGGTGAATATTCTATCATATCTTACCGGTCTTGGGCCCAGCACCACTGCATAGCCATCTCCATGTCATCCTGCTAGCGTAACCATCCCCTCTCCCCTTTCCACTCTAGCTCTAGAAAAGTAATCAGACCAATACTACAAGTGCTAGAAAAGACTAATCAATCATTTGGCTCTCCCTATTCCCTGTACAAAACACTCTTCTCTGGCCATCACTTTCCTAGTGGTGTTAGTTTTTTCCCCAATTACAAAGTAAGCACCACTTCCCGTTTATATTTGCATCCCCAAATTAGCAGAATTCCCTCACTAGTTAGCTTTTAATATTTTTCCATTTATATATTCACTCATATCAGTGAATATCAGGTCCTTTGGGACCTTTATTCAAATATTCTGTTCAGAATTCAAACAATCATAACTTTTTTGGCTGTTGGGAAATCATAATGGGAAAGATGGTACCAATAGTCCACCACTGAAATTCATTAATGAAGCTCAACTTTAAAATGCAAATAAACTCTCCATCTAGTGCCACTCATTTTAGTATTAATTACTTTTATCAGATTGCTTGCTAACCTAATAGTGGAGGTGGGGTGCCTGGAGGGATAATTTTCAAACACAAGGCATTTCAGGGAAGGAAAGACCAGAGGTAACCCTGAGGAGAGAAGAGAAAGGGGTGATAGGTCTAACAGGCAGAAGGTGGCAAAAACAAACAAAAACTCCTTTTCTTTTGAAATTCTAAATAAAGCTCTTCTGGTATTGAAAAATCCAACTTGGAAATACCTGTGTCTCTTAAAGACTATGCTGCTGATGGCTATTATAGAGTATAGTGCAAATTCTCCCATTACCTTCTGCCTTTCACTGATCAGGACAATAAAGTGATGTATAACAGAATGAACCCTTGATCTGGAGTTGGGACACCTAACTTCCAGTGTCCACCCAAATGACAGTGAACTTCTCTAAACCTCAGTGACCTAATCTGTAAAACAGGAATAATCACACCACCTGCCTCATAGTGGTGTGAGGAAAGCCTATTAGCCACTACTGTTACACATCATCATATGGTTGGCCCCCAGAAGTTTTCTTCAGTCACTGTCACTCACTATAATCTACTAAAGCATAAAAAAGCCACAATTTATTATTAGGAGTACCATAGTGAGGAAAATTGTGAATCCTTAAAGTATAGTATTATAGTTATTATGGGGTAGTGAAAAGACTTGTAAATATAAGTCAAAAGACTAGGTTTTAATCTTATTTCATAGTTTAACTTTAGGCAAAGTCTGTCCCACAACCTAAGAATCATCTTGAATTCCTCACTATCTCTCCCATCGACTCACCTAGCCTCTGGGTCCCACTCCTACCTCTCATATTCAAGCTGTGTCCAAGGCCTGTCCATTTCATCTTTACAACATGTCTCCAATATGCCCCCTTTTCTCCTGTGACAATGCACAGGTCTGGCTCATGTTACCTCCCTACTCTGGTGGCTTCCCATTGTCTCCAAAATGCTCAAAGCCAATCATAACCAACCCCCAACCTCCCCCTGCCCAATCTTTCCAGTCTTCCTACACCTTACTCCCTGATACAAACTCTTAGATCAAGCCTGCTGGCTGTTCCATGAACAAGACCCTCCATCTCTCAGCTCTGAACATTCTCTCTCTGGCTGTCCTCCATGCCTGGAATGCTCTCCCTCCTCCACTCTGATGACTGACCTCTCTGGCTTTCTTTAAGTCCCAACTAAAATCCCACCTCCTATAGGAAACCTTCCCTGATCCCTCTTAATCCCAGTGTCTTCCTTCTTTTAATAATATTGCTTGCTTTGTATATATTTGTTTGCATGTTTGCTCCCCCATGAGATTGTAAGCTCCTTGAAGGTGGGGACTGTTTTTGCCTTTTTGTATCCCCAGAACTTAGCATACTGCTTGACATGGCAGGCACTTAATAAATATTTACTGAACAGTTCAATCTCATATATCCAATCAGTTATCAAATCTTGTCATTTTCTATTTTTGCATCTTTTCTTTTTACTCCTATATTAACCACCTTAGTCCAGGACCCCATTACTTCTAGCCTAGAGTATTATAAAAACCAAACTGGTTTGTCTCGTGTCCCTCTGTTCCTCCTATAGCAGCACTCCATTGCCTGGAATCTCTGTGCACTGGCCAAAATATAGTATCATATATATGAACGTAAAATATATATGTACATATTGCATCTCCTGGTAGAATGTAAGCTCCATGAGGGAAGGGGTTTTTTGTATTTGCATCCCTGGGGCCTACCAAGGTGTCTACTACTTACTAAATACTTAATTTAAAGCTTGTTGGTCACAGGAAACTCACTATTCAAGAAACTCATTCCACTATTATAGAGTTCTTTTAAAAAAGTTTTTCCTTATAATACTGGACTGGAACTGTGATTTATTTAGTGTAGGGAACGTACACAAATTTCGAGTACATCAACCTGCCTCTTTCCTCCTAACCTAGGCTGCAATTTAGTTCCCCATAACTTTTAAATATTGTTCTGATCAGGTTCTACCTTTTGGAGCCAATATACCTGACACAGAGATTTACAGACTACAAAATGCTTTTTTCCTAAACAATTATCTCTGCCCCAGCCCCCTCTACCTCTCAATATTACTGATGGGGAAACCGGGATTCAGTGACTCCATCAAGGTCACAAAACAAGTAGTTTATTATTCTCACCACAGTATGCTGTATTTTCATATAGTATAAATTAATCCTTCCCAAAAGACAATCTTTCAAATATAACAGATACCTGTTATGCTCCCACTAAGTCTCTCATTCCTCAACTGTTCTTCACAGGACATAGTTGTGAGTGAGGGCTATAATATAACTTCAATTCACTTCAATTCCTGGTGTCATTTCAGCCCACCCTTTAGCCCTCCCAACAAACTGAGCCCATGCACAATCTTAATTTAGGAAGGCAGGAATTATATTTACTTAAATGTACAGAAACCTGTAAGTAAATGGCAGCAGTCATTTGTGGAAAAAACCCTTCAAGAATATAAATTCCACTTGTCAAAATTGATTCTTTTACCTTACACTTGAGTTCCCTACGCTTTTTTACACAGCTTTAGAGTTGCAGATACCTCTTAAGATACCTCAGCACCTCAAGTGCAAAATTAAGGGGCTGGACCTGATGATCTTGAGATCTTTTCTAGTTCTACATTTATAAATTAAACATTTGCCTTTAGGTGCCTTCAACAAAAAAGATCATGTGGTAAGGGATCTCTGGATCATAAATTTAGAGCTGGAAGGGACCAGAGCAACCATTTAGTCTAATCCCTTCATGTAAATGAAGAAACTGAGGTCCAAAGAAGTGACTTGACCAAGGTCAGACGTTCATTCATTCAAGAAGAATTTTGTGGAATCATAAAATTAAAGCTGGAAGAGACCATCTCCCCTCAAAATTTTACAGATAAAGAAATTGAGGCAGAGAGATTAAGTGATTTGCCCAGGCCTTCCTAAGTCCAACTCTAGCACCTGGGAACTAGGGATGCAAAGACAAAAGAAAAAGTAGCTCTTACTTTCAAACAGGGTATATCCTTCTATTCTACTGGGGAGATAAATTTACAAAATGTGAGGCAGTTGAAGGAAGGAGACAATGATAACAACAGTAGGGTCTAGAAAGGCTGCCGGGATAAGGTGGCAGATACGACACGCCTTGAAGGATACTATATGGACAGTAAATGGTAGGGCAAGAATTAAAACCCAGGTCTTCCAAACCAAGAGAGAGAAAGACTGAGAGTATTATCAGACACCCTGTTTGATCAATTTAGATATTCCTTCTACTGCCACATATTATAATTCATTCGATATCTCAACTTTTTTGATTCTTCAATATATCCTTCCATAAATCCAACTAGAAGTCTATCTTTATCATAACTGCTATATGATGGGCCTACTTCCTTTCCGGGTCACAAATGTTTTTGGTGACATCTTGCATTGCTTCTCAACAAATGAAATAATGCATGTAACTTCTATGTATATCTCCATTATTATTATTAGGTGAAAGAAGTCAATCATGTTGGACTTAGAAGGGATCTCCAAGGTCATGTAGTCCAACTCCCTCATTTCACAGATGAGAAAACTGATGCCCAATAAAGTTAAGCGGTTTGCCCAAGGTTAGTTAAGTAGTAAGCTTCAGAAGTGGGATCTGAACTCATTCCTATGCCAATCTTTCCACTGTACCAGACTGGGTCCCAGTTAATCATGGAGGAAGCAGATGGAGCACCAACATTACTATACTGCTCTTGAATTAGTGGATGACATACTATACTTTGAGAAATATGGATTGTAGTCCCAGAACTCCCTCCAATTTCTGTGTAGCCTTGAAGGCATGTCTCAGTCTCTCTGGACTTCAGATTCCTTCTCTGTAAAAAGATGAGGCTCAACTTTCTTTCTAGTCTGGATCATGGTTCGATGACACAAAAGCCACTGTCTCAGGTTTGGAAAAGGCAGGGCCAAGGTCTCCCTTACAAACCTCCCTCCCTCCTACCCCTACTTCTGGCTCTCTCCCTTTTTCCTCTCCTTTGCCCCCATCTTCTTCCCAATGTCGCCTGTCCCCATCCTTGCCCCCTTCCATCATCTCACCTGCCTCACCTTCTTCCCATCCCGACTCCCCAAAGCTTTCCCTTGTACCCCCCTTGTTTTAAACCTCGCGCCCCCCCTTCACCTTCTTCGCTCTTCCCTCCCTCGTCAAAACGGAAGCCCCCCGAACGCAAGGCTGTTGTTTCTCGCCTTTATGCTATCAAACCCTGTCTAGGACACTTTAGCAGCTGGGAGACCTCGGGCAAGTCACTTAATCTGCCTGCCTCCTTTGTCCTCATCTGTAGGATGGGGACAATAATAGCGCCTACTTTCTAAGGCGGTTGTAAACACCAAATGACACGGTACTTGTGATGAGTATTAATACCTCCTTCGGCCCCCCCCCACACACACCCCAGGCCTGAGAAGGGCCTCCTGAAGGGCGGTCCGGCCCAGCGACCTCCCCCGGCCGTGCGGGTCCCGTCCTTCTTCCTCCTCCCCCGCCCCCGAGCCCCGAGAGGCCGAGCAGCCGCCGCCGCTGCCCCCGTCCCGGGCCCGGACGCCTCAGGACGCGCCGACCCCGAGCGGCTTCCTCTCTCACCGTGGCTGGTTTCTGCAAAGCAGGGCCTCGCGCACGAGCCCAGGCCGGCAGCACGAACGGCGGAAGGCCAAAGGCTCGGAAAGGTGACCCCAGGAGCCGGGGCCTCGCGGGGAGTGCCGGGAAAACCGGCCCAGGGAGAGCCGGAAAAGGCGGGGCCTCGCAGTTTGCTCAGAGAGCCGGCCTCCCGCTACAGCGCCCCCGGGTGGCGCGCGCCGGCGCTGCAGGGTTCGGGAGAGGCACGGTCCTGGGAGGAGGGATGGGCGGGCGCAGCGGAGCGCTAGAGCGCCTGGCGAGCGGGGGAGGGGCTCGGCCTGGAGCAGGGGGAGGGGGGTGGAAACCACAGCCCAGAGATGAAAAGAGGCTTGTCTAAGGTCACAGCTAGGACAGAGCTTCTTGAAGCAGCTCAAGCACCACCTTCTGCGCGAGCCTTTATCAGTGCACCCCCCGCCCTGGTCGCCTCCCTGCCCCTCAACATCTCCCCCTCCCCCCATCTGCTAGTGCCCTCCCTCCCTTCTGTTTGACTTGTTCAATCGTTTTCAGTCGTGACCCCATTTGGGGTTCCTTCCTCAGCAAATTTTACAGATGAGGAAACTGAGGCAAACAGGATTGAGTGACTTGCCCAGGGTCACACAGCTAGTAATTGTCTGAGGCCACATGTGAACTCAGGAAGATGAGTCTTCCTGGCTCCAGGCCGGACACTATTCGCTGCGCCCCCTAGCTGCCCTCTATTTAACTACTTTGCATGTATTTATTCATTTTATGTTTATGCTGACTAGATTTACATATGTACTTGTCCCACCCTTAGAATGTAAGCTGCTTGCGGAAAAGAAATTTTTTTTTCATTCTTTGTATTTGTATGCCCAGAGCCTAGCACAGTCTCTGCCACATATCAATAAATACCTTTTGACTTGTCGCTACTAGATTATCCTCTGCTATGCTATGATATCGTCAAACTATAGAGGCTGTTAGGTGGCTCAATGGATAGAGCACTGGCCCTGGGGTCAGGAAGACGAGTTCAAATGTAGCCTCAGAGACTTGCTAGCTGTGTGTCCTTGGGCAAGTCGTTTAACCTCTATTTGCCTTCATCCATTGGAGATGGTGAACCCAATGAGGAACTACTCTAATATCTTCCCTACAAAAACCCCATACAATGTCACAAAGAAAAGACTGAACAAGATACTTATACTATGCAAAACTATCCTATTATATATATCTCCTGTACCAATGATCCTATAGTCTTTATTTCTACTGAGAGTTGAGCTAAACATTATAAAGAACTTGAACAATTCCAACACTATATAAACCATTTAGTAGGCAAATAGAGTCCTAGCAAATTCCTTTTATGGCATAAATATGGTTTTGGTACCTAAACCAGTAAGACCAAAAAGAGAGAAATATATATATGTATATATATATATATATATAAAATAGACCAATTTCTCAATTGAATATTGATGCAAACATTTTAAATAAAATGCTAGCAGTGAGATTATAGCAATATATCACATAGATCATACATTATGACCAGGTGGGATTTATACCAGGCATACAGGGCTGGTTCAATATTAGGAAAACTATCAGCATAATGACCATATCTATTAAGAAAAATCATAAAATTATCTCAATAGATGCAGAAAAAGCTTGTGATGAAATACAACACTCATTCCTATTAAAAACACTAGAAAACAGAAATAAATGGAGCTTTCCTTAAAATGATAAGTAGTATCCATCTAAAACCAGCAGCAAACATTATCTGTAATGGGGATAAGCTAGAAAGAATCCTTCCCAATGAGATCGGGGTGAAGCAAGGATGCCCACTCTCACGACTATTATTCAATATTATGCTAGAAATGCTAGCTATAGCAATAAGAGAAGAAAAAGAAATCGAAGACATTAGAACTTGTCTCCACTTGTCTCTGTCCTGATACCTGTAGTTACCCTTACTTTGGGCTCATTTTCTTCCCTTAAAAGTCTTGATCTTATTTAATCAGTTCAATTATACATTGCACTTGACCCTTGCATCCTTGACCCCTTGATCTACTTCTGTACAAACCATGCCAGTCTTCATCCTTGCATGATCACCTTATGTCTACCTTCTCCAATTCTACTCCTGTGCTGCAGAATGATGCTGGAGGAAATCACGTGACCTTGTTCAGCCTATAACACTCATATTACCTAATCTTGTAGGGGCTAGCACTGCTATAGTTCTTACTTGGTGGTCTTATCCATCAATTAACTGCTTTCTCACAAGTTACCAATTCTCTCTCTCTCTCTCCCTCTGTCTCTCTCTGTCTCTGTTTCTCTCTCTCTCTCTCTGTCTCTCTCTGTCTCTCTCTCTCCCTCCCTCCCTCCGTCTCTCTTTTGGCTTTTTGGTGTGGCAATCAGGGTGAAGTAAGGGTGAATAAGGAAACAAAACTATTGCTCTTTGCAGATGATATGATGGTATATTTAGGGAATTAACTAAATATTAGTTGAAACAATTAATAACCATACATAAAAATAATACATAATACATACATAACAAACATAATATTCCATGCAATGGAATAATATTGTTCCATAAGAAATGGTGAGCAGGGGGCAGCTAGGTGGTGCAGTGGGTAGAGCACTGGCCCTGGAGTCAAGAGCACCTGAATTCAAATCTGACCACAGACACAACACTCTCTAGCTGTGTGACTCTGGGCCAAGTCACTTAACCCCAATTGCCTCACCAAAAAGCCAAAAAAAAAAAAAATTAGTGAGCAGTTGGATTTCAGAAAAACCTGGAAAGACTTTTATGAAGTCATGGAAAGTGAAGTGAGCATAGGAGAACACTGTACACAGTAACAGCAATTTCGTGCAACAATCAACTGTGAATGATTTAGCTATTCTCAGCAATACAATGATCTAAGATAGCTCTGAAGGACTTATGATGAAAAATGCTATCCATCTTCAGAGAAAGAACTGATGGAGTCTGAATGCAGATTGAAGTATACTTTTTTCACTTTCTTTGTTTTTCTTTTTTTTTGTTAACATAGCTAACATGGAAATATGTTTTGCGTGATTTCACACATATAATTGATAACACATTTATTGCCTTCACATTGAGTGGGCAAGGAGTGGGAGGGAGGGAGGAAGATAACTCAAAGCTCAATTTTTAAAGATAAATAAAAATAAAGAACTTGAACAATGAAATTCCTTTCTCTGACCATAAAATTCCATTTCTCTGCTTCAGGCCTTAACCTTCAATATTCTCTTGATCTATAGTTTCTCCACTTGTCTCTGTCCTGATACCTGTAGTTACCCTTACTTTGGGCTCATTTTCTTCCCTTAAAAGTCTTGATCTTATTTAATCAGTTCAATTATACATTGCACTTGACCCTTGCATCCTTGACCCCTTGATCTACTTCTGTACAAACCATGCCAGTCTTCATCCTTGCATGATCACCTTATGTCTACCTTCTCCAATTCTACTCCTGTGCTGCAGAATGATGCTGGAGGAAATCACATGACCTTGTTCAGCCTATAATACTCATATTACCTAATCTTGTAGGGGCTAGCACTGCTATAGTTCTTACTTGGTGGTCTTATCCATCAATTAACTGCTTTCTCACAAGTTACCAATTCTCTCTCTCTCTCTCCCTCTGTCTCTCTCTGTCTCTGTTTCTCTCTCTCTCTCTCTGTCTCTCTCTGTCTCTCTCTCTCCCTCCCTCCCTCCGTCTCTCTTTTGGCTTTTTGGTGTGGCAATCAGGGTGAAGTGACTTGCCCAGGGTCACACAGCTAGTAAGTGTCAAGTGTCTGAGGCCAGATTAAAACTCAGATTCTCCTGCCTCCAAGGCTGGAGCTCTATCCACTGGACCACCTAGTTGCTCTCCCATTGTCTCTTAATTGCTAAATCTCATGGCCTTTTCTCAGTCCTCATCTTTCTGGTCCTCTCTGCAGCCTTTGACAGTGTTGATCACTCTCTTCTCCTGGATACTTTTTATTCTCTCCGTTTTCCTATTTCTGCTCTTTCCTAGTTCTCCTCCTACCTGTCTAACCACTCCTGTCTCCTTTGCTAAATCTTCACCCAGGTCATGCCCACTAACTATGGGTATCCCCCAAGGCTCTATTCCTGGGCTTTCTTCTCTTTTCCCTCTAGATTATTTCACTTAGTGATCTTATCAGCTTCAATTGTCATCTCCTTGTAGATCTATAGCTCCAGCTCTCACAGTCTCCTTCCAAGGCTCCATTCTCAAATCATCAACTGCCTCTTGGACATCTCATTTTGGATGTCCTGTAGGCATCCCTACAAACTCAACACATCCAAAACTGAACTCATCATCTTTCTCCCAAACCCTTTGTTCTTTACAATTTCCTTATTATTGTTGAGGGCATCTCCATCTTGCTGGTCACCCAAGCTTGTAATCTCCTTGACTCCTTTCTTGCACTCAATTCACATATCCAATCTGTTGTCTAGTTTATCATTTCTACCTTAAGGTCATCTTTAGTATATGCCTCCTTGGCATATACTAAAACCTTGGCTTTTTTGCTGTTCCTTAAATAAGAAACTCCATTTCCTCACTCTGCTTTTTCCCTTGGCTGTCCCCCATGCCTGGAAGCCTCCCTCTCCTCACCTCTACTTTGGCTTCCTTAGAGACTCAGTTTAGATTTCATCTTCTGCATGAGGCCTTTTCCATCAACTGAGGAATGGCTGAACAAGTTGTGGTATATGAATGTAATGAAATATTATTGTGCTATAAGAAATGATGAACAGGTGGGCTTCAGAAAAACCTGGAAAGACTTGTATGGTCTGATGCTGAGTGAAGTGAGCAGAAGCAGGAGAACATTGTACACAGTAACAGCCACTTTGTGTGATGACTAATATTGATAGATTTAACCCTTCTCAGCAATGCAAGGATCTAAGACATCTCTAATGGCCTCATGATGGAAAATGCTATCCACATCCAAAGAAAGAACTATGGAATATGAATGCAGACTGAAGCATACTATTTGCTATTTTTTTCTTCTGTTGTGTTTTGTTTCCTCTTTCTGGTGGTTCCTCCTATTGGTTCTAATTCTTACTTACAACATCACTAATGTGAAAATATGTTTAATAGGAATGTATATGTATAGCCTATATCAGATTGTGTGCCGTCTTGG